ATAAGTGTTACCTTATACGTACAAGACTTATCATAACCTATTGGCATTAACATTTTACCAGTTCTTCTGTGAAGTATAAAAAGCTTTCTACCTTTTACATCCTTTTCTTTTTCCTGCCCATAATTCTTAAATAATTCCTTCATATACATGTAGAGCCATATGAGGCAGTGTTATAATTTTTGCTTTGACACTGAAACATAATTTATTAGATTTTTTTTTTTTTCCGGTACCAGGGATCGAACTCGGGAACTTGCGCTTGTGAGGCAGGCAGCAGAACCACTGAGCTAAATCCCCGGCCCTCATTTCCTTTCTTTTTAAGAACCTCAATTTAGCCAGTTTTAGAACAAGTCTCCTGGGGATAATTCTCTTAGGCTCTGGGGGGTGTTGTGGAGCTGGGGATGAAACCCAGGGCCTCAATCCTACTGGGCAAGGGCCCTGCCTGACTACATCCCAGCACGAGTTTCTTTCTGTGTAAGAAGATTCCGATTTGCACTTCATGTCTGAAGGATCCCAAACTCTGTATGACAATCCTTTCCTTCTAGAGCATAGACAGTGCTATGCCACTTCCTTCTGTCCTCCTCAGCTTCCCACAAAAGTCTGCTGTTGTTCTGATTGCTTTTCTCCTGTGGGTAATATGTCACTTCTTGCTGTTTTCAAGATTTTTCTTTGTCTTTGATTTACAGAAGTTTGATTGTGGTATATGAGGGTGTGCATTTCTTTTGATTTATTTTGTTTATGGTTAAGTTCCTTTCTTGAGTCTTTACATTTTTGTCTTTTGCCAAGTCTGTTGAGTTGTTAGCCATTGATTCTCTGAGTACTTTGCTGTTCTGCTCCCTTCTGTCCTTTGGGAATCTGATAATGTGAAAGTTCAGCCTTTCATGTCTGTCCCCATAGGCTATTTTAAAATTTTTTCCAGTCTGTTTTCCTGTTGTTCAGATTGGCTGGTTCTGTTGTGCCGTCTTCAAGTTTACTGATTATCTTCTCTGCCACCTAAGTCCTGCTCTTGAATCCGTGTGCTGAGCTTTTTATTTTTTTCGTTTCTAAAATTTTTTCTTTTTTTTTCATTTCTAAAATTTCTGTTTGGTTCTTATTTATCTTTTTTTTTCTTGACAGTATTTCTTTGCTGAGACTTTCTGGGTGTTTTCATTCATTTCAAAAGTTGCTCAAATCTTATTGGTGCATTTTCATAATCATTCATTTAAACTATTGTTCATATAATCTTAGCATTTCTGTCACCTCAATATTGATTGATTCTTTTTTAATTCATGTGGAGATTTTCTAGCTCTTGGTATGATGTGTGATTTCCAACTGAATGCTGGGTTGTTGTGTTATGAACTGTGACTCACCTGACACTGCTATAGCAGGCTGGAGGGCCACATGTTACAGGTGGGGGCTGCCTTCTTACAGCAGGTGAAGGCACAATCGAGGCTCCACACGTAGGCTGCTGATGCTCCGGGCCAGTGATGCCTCATCACTGTGGGTGGGGTCCCTGCTGTCTCCATGGTCTGGCTGATGCTGTGCAGTAGAGACTGGGGGAGACTGACAGCCCCCTGGTGGAGGTGGCCATCCAGTTTCCATGTGAGACCTTGCTTGCCCTGGCACCCCCAGGAGTTGTGATGCCACCCTGCAGGCCATCGATGGAAGAAGTCTCCACCTCCACTGGGCGTTTGCTGGCAGGAGGTTTGGGGATGAGAAACTCAGTTTTTCCCGGTCCTTGGCTGAAGCAGGATGGCTATTACCTAAGAGCCCCACATCTTGAGAGGCTGCCTTTTCCTGGGTCATTGGGCAGAGAGCAAGAGGGATTGTTTTGGAGTTTTCTATTGTGTTTTAGTGTTGTTTTCAGCACTCATTTGAGATTTCCTGTTGCTGGCTTTTTCCACTCCAAGTCTGGGATGAAAGATGCTAAGACAGGATTGCAGAGGATTAGAAGCTCTGCACCTCAGAGAAGAAGCCCAGTGCCTCCACCTCCCTGGCTGTAAGAGGGGTGGGCAGCACAGTGGAAATCTGAGCTGTGCCCACATGCCTGGTAGTAACACAGAGGAAACAGGTGTTGCAGAGAGGGTGATGTACGAGTCTGTGTTCCTATGAAGGTGGGCATGGCAAGGCGTGTGTGTTTGTACACGGGTGTACATTTTAGGAGCAGCACCTGAGAGCTCTGCAGCCCTGCAAAGGCCACGGAGCAAGGTGTGTGGTTATCTTTGCTAACCTGAGTCAGTCGATCAGCTTTCAGCCTCTGCCAATGGCCCAGGGCTCCCAGAGCCTCCAGCCTGTGGAATTCCTGCAGGGAAGCTGCCCACCCTGGACGTGGATGTCAGAGCTAATTCCTCTATTACCCAACTCCCACATCTCACTCCCAAGCCAGCTCCTTGAGGAAGATGCATTTGCCACATTAAGTGAGCCCCGATGTGCTCCAGGAGGTTGTCATGAGACAAATGGCTCCTGCCGTGTGCCCTCAGCCCACCACCCTGCACCCACTCTACTCGGGCCACAATCATGTGCATGAGATGGGGCGTAGCTCATTTTCTTCTCACAGGATGAACTTGTCAGCATTTGACCGATCAGAGCTGGCTGCAGGGAGTTCATTTGCAGGGCCACCTGGCTTCCCAGCGCTGCTGTCTTGCTCCCATTTTACTCTGGGTAATGAGCCAGGACTTCATTCCTGTCGGGTGCTGTTGATCGGCCAGACCTGGGCAGCCTACACACCGTGGCAAGGCCTGGACCCTCCTCAGGGAGCTCCTCTTGCCTGGAGGCTCTGTTCCACCCAGGACCCTTTGGTGACTCCCTACTATTGCCAGGTGAACTCTACTCTCCAAGATGGGCATTCACTGCCCTAGATGATCTGCTCACCTGGGCACTGGAATCCAACCCAGCTCTCCCTGTTACTAGGTGATCATTCTCACCCCTGTTTACAAGCAAGGCCTCAGAAATGGCCTAAGTCAAGATATTTAGTCTCTGATAATGCCTACTCTGTGGCTGTCAGTGTACATGCTTAGCCTGGTACCCACACAGTAGGTGCTAGGCAGAGACTGGCTAATACCTCAAGCCATGGTGTTCTTCCACCTCGGCTGAATGCTACTGCCTTCACCTACCTGCTGGAGGCCAAGCACCCACCCAGAAGCTCTGCCTCCTATCCCTGCTATGCTCCAGTACTGGGGTCCCCCACCTGCAGGCCTCTCCCAGATCAGAACCTGACCATGGCCAAGGCCTCCCCAGGCTCTGAGGGCACCAGAGGGCCCTGAGGGACCTGGCACAGGGCACAGTCAGGAATAGCCACCTGTCCAGCCTCAGCTCGCCTCACTTCCCACCATCCCAAGCTAGCGGTTTCCTGCACTTGAGGGCCCTGGGCCTTTCCTGATGGCCCAGCTGGGTCCCTGAAGGCCCTTCTCTGAGCTGGGTCACAGTCAAGGCCAAGAAAGGACACTTCCTGCACCCACAGGCCTGGGGATGGGACCAGATGAGGACTTAAGGACACAGGCAGTGGACAATAGCCACTGCCTGCGGCACGGGGCTCTGAGTGGTGGCAGGGCCACATGCTGGGTTGCAGGAGGCAGTAGGGGCAGAGAGGGTCCTGTCCCCTGTCACCGCACTGCCCCAGCCCAGGTGCTGTGTGAGGTTGGCCCAGCAGCAGAGCAGAGCTTGCTGTCTGCAGGCAGCAGGCTACAGAGCCTGGGCACTCCAGCTGTCGAGTCCTCAAGGGCAGGGCCAGCCAGCTAGAGTGTCAGAGAGCTCAGGAGGTCTTGAGACAAAGGAATTTTACAGGCAGTGTGGCAGAGGAATGGCCTGGAACAGCATGCAGGGGGGTGAGGATGTGGAATGAGCACAGGTCCTCAGCAGGGGCACAGGGTGCCTCAAGCCTGAGTGCAGGCAAGGCTGGCCCCAGAGCCTGGGTGCTGGAGTTAAAGGTTGCATTTTTCCTTGTGGGCAGCTTAAGGAAATGAGGGCAGGGTGGTACCAGGCCCGAGCTATCCTGTGCCCTCGGACCCCAGGGCATAGCCCAGGCCAAGATGCTGTCCAGGGGAAGGTGGGAAAGGCCAAGAGATGTGCAAGAGCCCACAGGGCCAAGAGGGGTGTGGGAGCCCCCAAAACACCCAGACAGGAAGGAGATGGGTGAATGGATGTCCCAAGTGTAGGCTGGCTCCCCAGACCAGAAGGTCTGGGTGGGATACATCTCCTTCCCCAAGGATCTGCCAAAAGTAGAAGGTATGGTTAGGGACATCAGCAGACACCTGTCACAAACCTGGAAAAATCACCTGAGTAGGGCAGGGACTGGCCAAGTGGCCATTGCCTGCCAGGGACTGAAGAGACTTGCAGGAAGGTTTAGAGACTAAGCAGCCTCACTGGAAGGGAGAACTTTCCTCATCCCTGGGGAAGGCAAAATGGATGCCAGAGTTGCTGCCATCAAACCCACCTTCCACGTGGCAGAATGGAGGATGGTAGAATGGAGATGGAGAAGGGCAAAGAATACATACCCGTTCTTTAAGGAGGCTTTCTGGAAGCTGTCCTAGAGTGTCTGTAGATCTTGTTGGCGGAATTTAGAAACCTGGTTGGCCCTGGCTATAAAGAGAGAGGCTGAGGGATGTAGCTTTCACTGGTAGCCCATGTGCCAAGCTAAAGGCTAGGGCTGCTGTGAGGGGCTCAGGGTGCTGTGGCAGGCAGCTCAACATCTCTGCCATAGAGCATGCTGTGGCTCCACTTTTTCTCCCCCAAACCAACAGCTGGTGCGAGGGTGGCAGGCCACACCCTTCCTTCAGATGTTCATGGGAAACCCCAATTGCATTTCAGCCCCGAGTCAGATCTTTGGAAATCACAGCTCAGAACACACGTGTGTGGCATGCACAGGTGGGGCTGGGGCCATCTTCATGCTTGGACTGGACTGGACCCAGGGACCCTGGGCCAGGTTAGAGGTCAGGACAGTCCCCTGACCTCACTGGGCTACAGTGTGGGCTTGGGGAGGGCAGGCAGGCGCCAAGGCCACCATGTTTGCCTGTCCTGCCCTGCAGACTCCACCAACCGCGACTCACTGGACATGATCGAGCGCTGCATCTGCCTGGTGTGCTTGGATGCCCCCAGTGGTGGGGACCTCAGTGACACGCACAGGGCGCTCCAGCTCCTCCACGGAGGGGGCTGCAGCCAGAACGGGGCCAACCGCTGGTACGACAAGTCCCTGCAGGTAAGTGCACTGTGCCCTGCACACGTCCTCTGTGGCCCTGGGTGGCTGGGGCTGGTGGCCAGGACAGCAGAAAGGCCTGAGGTGGGCTGCTGGCCACCTCTGAATGGCCAGGGCTCTTTTATGCAAGTAGCTGGGCCAGCTGAAACTTCTTCACCATCCTGCGGCCTGTGAGGGAAGCCCTGGTCACACCTGGGTCACACGTGGGCACCCAGGCCAAAGTGTTCCATGGTCCCACCGTGGGACTCCTCAGCACCTTCACCAAGAACTATGTCTGATCCCTGAGCAGATTCCAACACACCTTTCCTTCATCCCTGAGCAGCAGGGCAGACAGCATCTCCTCAGAAAAGTCCTAAAATAAAATCAAATAAAATATTTCATGTTTTTTCTTCTCATGACATCACTTACCTATGCAGATGGGATGAGTTGAGTCGGGCGGTGGTTCCATTTCCCCATCCTCTGCCCTAGCAGACTGACCCCAAATCTGACCTTGCTATTTTTAAAGCTACTGCACTCCCACAAGGGCTGTGCATCCCTCTGGGTTGATGTTGCTCCCTGCAGTGCACATTTCTGTACATCTCCTTGTCTCCTTTCCCCTTAGGCTTATCCTTTTGGCTGGTTTGTGCGTTGATTCTCCCCGCTGCCTCCTAGGGGAGTCTGTGCTGCCACCAATCCCCTTGGGTGGGCAGGACAGAGGACTAGGGGAGACAGGAGGCTAGGTGGACCAGATTCTGGGGGAGAGGAAGGACGATCCATCAAGGGAAGGCTGCTCGATTGCTAGACTGTGGAGCGACATTAAAGATTGCAGTCTCTGGTCCATGATGGAGATGGAAACATCATGGAGAAAGGCGGCTCAAGTGTGGGGGGTGTTGTGGTCCTGGGAAGGGGTCTCTGTGGCTTACAGATGGGGGATGAGTCCACCTGGGCATGAAGAGTGGCAAGGTGGCCCTGCTCTCAGGCCCTGGCCTTTGCACTCAGAATCAAATCTTGTCCTCTCACTTCTTTCCCCCAGGACCCCTGTGCACTGTACTGTGCTGGTCAGATGCCCATCACTGTGGCAACGCACCTGGCATAACTGACTTATGGAGGCACAGTTCCAGAGGATTCAGTCCATGGCCACTTGGTGCTATTGCTTTGGGCCTGTGACAGCACAGGATGTCATGGCTGAGATGTCTTCTCACCTCATGATGGCCAGGAGGCAGAGAGACGGGGAGGGACTCAGTCCCAGTGTCCCCTTCAAGGTCATGCCCTGGTGACCTGACTTCCTCCCAGCAGCCCCCACCTTCCATAGGGTCCACACCCTCCCTGTAGCACCATGGGCTGGGGCCCAAGCCAAGAGACTTCACTGGACATTTCAGATCCAAACTATAATAGCTCCTTTTCCTAGTCAGCTAAATAAAGCCTTCGTGAAGTCGAACAAAGTGAAATCATAAGGATCCCAAGAGTCCTGCATGCATGCACTCCCTAGTCTCCATCTCCAGCCAGCGAACTGGGCCTCACTGGGACAGTTTTAAATGACAGCCTCCTGAAGCCAATCGAGCTGGAGAGGCTGGATGAAGCAACCAAGGCTGCCGGGGCAGTAGAAGTAGGATCTGGGGTCCTGATGGCAGCTAACAGAACATCCTCTGTCCATACCCTTCCCTGCATGGGACATCCTCCATCTACTCCTTTCCCTCCGGTCAAGGGATGTTCTTCTCCCTGGAAATCTGCTCAACAACTAAATCCGATCATCACATTTCATCAACTCCTAGTGCAGGACCCAGCACCTGCTCTGGGGGTGGGCGGGGTACAGGTCTCTGTCTGGGAATAAAACCAATGATGGCCAAACACACAGGGCCTATCAGACTGAGAGGCCACCATGGGATGAGGCCTGTGCTGTGTGCTGGGAGGGGACAGGCCAGGTCAGCGCACTGGGCCTCTGTGGGGAGGCCACCCGCCCAGCCCAGCGCTATCTAGAGACTCCCGCTGCTGTCACTGTGCTGCTCCCTTTGGGAAGTGCCGTCCCTGGTGTCCATGAAGGAGTGGTGCCCCTGGCTGGGTGCAAGAGCTGACCTGGCCCCTGCCCGCTCTGTTGCAGTTCGTGGTGGGCCGAGATGGCACGTGTGGCGTGGTGTGCGAACACTCCCCGTTCGACGGCATCGTCCTTGTGCAGTGCACAGAGCACCTGCTCAAGCATATGTGAGTCTAGGGATGAGTAAAGGGGACCAGGAGCCCCAGCGGGGCTGTGTCAGGCTGAGAAGTGACTTGGCAAGGCATGCATTTGGGCAGCAGTATAGACGTGGTATCATGAGACTTACAGGCCCAGATGGAAGCTGCAGACTGTGGGAGACATCAAGGGCTGTTGAGGAGAGGGTGGGACAAGGGCCTCAGGACATCTGCTGTGGTCCTGGGAAGCCCCATCCCTTCCTGCCACCTGTCCAGAGCCATGCTGGGCCTATGTGACCAGTGCAGAGGGGACCCTGCTCCTGGGCCGCTCTGTCCCCACTCACAAGTTTGCTCACTGTCTTCAGTGTCTTCTCCTGGCTTCTAATTCTCAGCTTCTTCCATAAATACCTTGGGATCACTGGAACCTAAACCAACCCTACACACAGAACAACACAGCTGGCTGCTATTTTTCTCTCTGAGCATTATATGAGCATCACTGCTGTAACTGGTCTAATACGAATCCAAGGAGAAGAAATACTGTGGAGGCAGGAGGATCACAAGTTTGTGTCCAATCTAGGCAACGTAGCCTCTTAATAAAACGCTGTCTAAAGATTTTTAAAAATTTAAAATGGTTGGGGACGTAGCTGAGTGTGAAGGCTTTGGGTTCAACCTTCAGTTAAAAAATAAAAAGAAAGAACAGTAGGAACAGAAGGAAGGAAAGAAAGAAAAGACAAAAGAGAGCATGCTCTTTGGAGTTGGGCTGCTGGATGGAATCCCAGCTGTGCCACTCATTGATTTTAATGCCCTCTCTGAGCTTCTGTTTATTCATCTGCACAGTGGTTTGGGGTACAGCTCAGCCCCCTGAAACTCCAAGGCTGTACACATCAACAGCTAGGATGTATGTGGGGGTGGAAAAACAATGCACCCTCTAGATGCAGGGCCTCAGTCTCCCCTCTGCACTGCAGGACAAAGAGCAGCAAGAAGGTGGTCCTCTCAGATTCTGTCAGTGAGCTCCCTGCACCCAGGAGGCTGAGGTGGAAATGCTCCCCAGAAATCCAGGGCCACCTGGCCTCCTCGGCAGAAAAGCTCCAAAGGTAAGGGACCCCCAGGTGGCCAGCCAACACTCCCTGATGACCCAAGGACCTAGCAGCCCTGCCTCCCCAGGCTGCACCCCACCTGCACCCATGGAAGAGGTGTAGTCAGACTAAGGGGAGCCTGGAGTTTGGGGAGGCAACCTTGCTGAGGTGTCTGTTGTTTCCATAAATGCAAATGCCCAGCCACTTCCCTCACAGACTTTGCCTCACTGAGCAGCTCTGAGGCAGGACCCTCCCTGCTCTATAAACAGCTGGTTTGAATAGGTCGTTTGAATCCAAGCTGCTTCAGTGTGCCGAGTTCACAGGGTGCTTGGCAAGGGGCCTCTGTCCCCGAGGGACGGGTGATTAGGCCCTGATCTAGTGGGCCAGGCAGGGAACATTGGAGTGCATGGGACCTGGGAGGAGACATTAACATGCACAGGGTCTGTCCTCAACCCCCAGACCTACAATGCGTGAGGCAGGAAGTGCCAAAGCAGAGGCAGGTGGGCAGACCTGAGCCCATGGAGAAATGGAGGTGAACTCTGCTGGACAGCGCAGGAGGGTTTTTGCAGAGGCAGGCTGACCCTGTGGGGGAGTGGAGAGCCCTACTGACATGGAGCCTGCCAGGCCCTGGGGCAGGGGGAGAAGGTTGGTTGCTGTCAGAGACCCAGATGGCCCCTGCTTCTGACAATGAGGAAAGCCTGTGGGGAGGCAGGAGCAGCTCTGAGGATGGGGTGTGATAGGGCAGGAGGCATCCAGGCCAGCTCAGTGACAGTGGTGGCAGTCTGTCCAGGAGTCTGTCCATAGGCAGGGCTGTGGAGCAAGCTCCCACCAGGTCCCCTATCTGGTGTGGCCCCCAGAGCCCCGAATGTGAGGAGAGTTGGAGGAAGGCAAATGGCACAGGCCTAGCTGGACCTTGTCCTGGGCATCAGAGGACCCCAGCCTCCCCACAAAGGAGAAGAGGAGACAGTGTGTCATTGGTGGGGCTCGGGCATCTCCGTGCAGATGCAGGGACTTGTTCTGTTGTTCTGACAGTGACAAAGCCCCAGGCATGTCATGGGAAGCTGTAGCACTTTCTGGATAACATGGGTTTGGGTCACTGGTGAGGCCCTGGTGGGTGTTCTGAGTCTTGGGGAGCAGGCACCCCTTCCCTAGAGTCCACAGAGATGCAGGAAAGACATGCCTTTTCCTTGGTCACTCAAGCGGAGGGGCCTCTTCCAGGCCTACCTGTGGTGGGGAGTATATTTGTGGGCAGTGTGGCCCTGCCCATGCAGATGTGCTCTGCCTGCCCCCTGCTCCATGTGGGACGCTTCTCCCCTAGGCAGTGCCACTCCTGCCCCGCCGGGAACCTTCTGCTCAGGGCAGCCTGGCCCAGTGTGCTCCTGCCACATGCATGGTCAGCACATCTGTGACTGCCCAGGTGCTCCTGGGGATGGGTGCCATACCCTCGCCTTGTGGAGTGGCTAGCCAGGCTGGAGTCATGCAGTGGGCTCGGGGCACTTGTGAGCCAAGTCCCTTTCTCTGCCTCCCAGAATAGTGAAGAACCTGGACTTCACCGTGTACAGGTTTGCTGGCTATGGGAAGACGTTCATCAAGAAGCAGAAGTGCAGCCCCGATGCCTTCATCCAGGTGGCCCTGCAGCTGGCATTCTACAGGTGAGACCCATGGCAGTGACTCTGGAGCCTGGTGCATCCTGGGCCAGAGAATGGCAAAGCCAGCCTCAGGAAGGAGAGGGAAGGATACACAAGCAGGGACAGCAAATGTGAGCAAGGCCTGGTCCCCCAATTCTGCCCTCACTCAGCTTTGGGATCGGTGAATCAGACTGCATTGCTCATCACTATGAACCTCAGGTGCCCATTCGCTGGGCCCTCCCACCTGCCATCTCCACTTCCTTTCTGAAGAGCCACCTGGGGCTCCATTCCACCTAATTCTCCTTCCTACCTCAGTGTCCCCCAGCAGCCCACGAAAGAGGCAGGACGAACACTCCCTGTGTACCTCTGGGCTGTCGCTGCCCCTCTCTGAGCTCTGTTTCTTTTTCCTCCCCATCCCCAACACCAAGGACTGGGCTGACTGCCAGGAAGTGGGTGTGAAAGCCAGGTATGCAGGTTGGGAGGTGCTCACTCAGTTCTCAGGCATAAGGAAAGAGGTGTTCTCTGACCAGTGGCACCATTTCCTCAGCTGGATGTCCAGGAGGCCAGAACCATCCATAGGGAGGTAGGATACACATCACACCCAGCTCCAAGGACTGCCCTGTTTCAGCCTCCTTGGAGAAGGAAAGGTGCAGCCTCGGTGCCTATGGGCCTGGCTGACCCTGAATGCATGACCTGGGCACAGTGCCACCCACACTACCCCCTCTCACCCCTGCCTGGGTCTGGAGGTTACAACTGAATTATTTTAAATAAAACCAAATTCCCTCCAGGGTCTGAATGATTAATTGCACAATTACTCCATTCTCCACTGTTCATCAAACAGTCAGTGGATCTCAGAAAATTCCAGCTTTCCCAGTGGATTGGGGATGTCACAGAAAGCACCCAGGCACCTCCTTATTTTCCATCAGCGCAGTGCCCTACCTTCTGCACATGTAATGTGACTCTTGCTGTTGGAGGCTGCTGGCATTCATCTTGGGGATTCTCTCAATCCTATCAACATTAAATTGAAATACAGAGCCAAGTCGAGTCAGGACTATAACAATGAAGCCTGCCAAGGCTATTTTTCTTTCTGTGTTTATGATTTCCTGAGAATAAATTACCGCTTGCCATTCATCTTTATCTTCTGCAGGCACCACCGGAGACTGGTGCCCACCTATGAGAGTGCATCCATCCGGCGGTTCCAGGAGGGGCGAGTGGACAACATCCGATCAGCCACTCCAGAGGCACTGGCCTTTGTGAGAGCCATGACTGACCATGAGGCTGCCATGCCCGTAAGTCCCGCTCCAACCAGGAAGCCACCCGGAGGCCAGCAATGCCTATGTCTCTGTTTCTGTTGGCCATGGAGCTGAGATCTCAGGCCCTGGGCATTGTCTCTCTTCTCTGTCATAGGCTTCTGAGAAGGGACAGCTCCTGAGGGACGCAATCCGTGCCCAGACTGAGTACACAGTAATGGTGAGTGACATTGTGTGCCTGGTGACTAAAACAGCCATGCTGTGCAAAAGCCCTCGAGGAGCTGGGGCCTGTGTGAGGCCCTGTGTCACAGCTTAGCCACCTATGGCTTGGTGACACAGCAGGCCACCCACTCTCAGAGCCTCCTCTTTCTTGCTTTTAGAATTCCTGCTTGTCCACCAGATCTTACAAGAGCAGAGTGAGTGGCATTTGAAATCCTTTGGAATAATAGCATACAAAATGTGTGCATACAGCACTTTACAGTTTATACAACAGAAGCTAAATGTGAGGGTGTAGGGCTCCAGCCTGGCAAATGAGGGCAGCCTGTACCCTGGCACAATCACAGTGAACAAGGTGACTTTTGTTCCTACCTCGAACTGATTTTGCCTCTTGTTTCCTTGTTCCTATTTATTCTACCTATGAATAGAAAGTCTTTGCTGAAAATTAATACCAACGTCAAAATTGGAAGGGAAATGTCTCCCTAGTTTAAGAAAATAATTTATTTTCTGGTACTGCAAAGCCATCATCTGCATACCGAAATTAGAGAATGAGTATCAGTTGGGCTGGTGATCAATGTATTAATTGCAAACCATTCTAATGTAGTCTGCAAAGGGTCAGATAACTTATGGAAAGGATTGGCCAGGTTCCACTCTCTGCACTTGAAAGCAAGTACAGTGTACTTCTGGGTTTCGGAACCAGTGTAGACTTTCCTCTAACTCACTGGCTAGCTCTTTAATTCATCTCAGTAGTTTCATGTTTGTTCTCTTTGAGGAAAATGAAGCACAGCTTTCCATTACTGTAACACATAACCTGAGATAAAGACAGAGAAAAGGTTTATTCTGGCTCACATTTCAGTCATGGTCAGTTGGCCCATTGTTGTTTTTGGGCTGTGGCGAGACAGCACATCATGTCAGGAGCCCATGGTGGGGCAAAACCTTCAACTCATGGTGGGGAAGAAAGAGGGAGAGGAAGAGGAGGGACTGAGGTCCCACTCCCCCTTCAAGGGGACATCCCCAATGACCAGGAGACCACCTACTAGCACCTTTCCAATTGGCATGAAGCTGACGGCTAAGGCTTTATTTAATACACAAACCTCTGAGAGACATTTCAGACCCAAGCTACAGCAAGTACCCAGCCCTGTAATCTATGGATATGTTGTTGTTGTTGCTGCTGTTATTGTTGTTGTTTTCCTGCTTTATGCCCATGAGAGGTGCCAGGTGCTAGAAAACAAACCCTGGAACTCATAAATCCTATCCTTAGGGAATCTGGCTTGTGATTGGAGAAGTCCTTCAAAGTTAAGTCGAAATGCATGTGGAAAGAGCCCTCAGGAAATAACATTGAACATGGAGAAGCAAACTTTTTCCTCTGCTTTTGAAAGCCAGGAAGACTTTGTAGAGGAAGCGACGCTCCAACTCAGCCTTGAATGACCAAGAGAGAGAATTGGTCCCAGGAAAAACAGCAGGTGCACAGGCAGAGTCTTCAAAGCATAAAATATTGAGGAGGAGCAAGTAGATCAGTATGTTCCAATTACTGAGGCCAGAGTGCAGGAGGGCTGTTACCAACTTCCTGTTACCAACCTCATTCCAGTGTGGGGCAGAAGGGCTGGTTGGATGGGGGCAGTTTGCCAAGAAACAAAGATGCCAATTAGGAAGCCACGCAGTATTGAGGGGCAGAGGGTAGAGAGGAAGACCCAGACATGGTAGGCTGAACGAAGGGCTCACTGTCACTCACTCTGAAACTTTCCAAAACAACAGTCAAGGGATTTTTTAATACTGTGAATTCATGAGGATAAAAAGAATGGAAGGAAGGTGACAGCAACTGTTTGAGCTGGAAAGCAGAAAAAAATGACAACTGAATTAGTCAACAGTGAGAGAGGCTGGTGAACCTTGGAAATGCACAGACAGACACTGGGGACAGCCCCCCAAAAATGGGGGCACATGGGGCTGGGAAGAAAGAGAGTTGCTTGATCTCTCATCTGTTTGGGCTGCTGTGATAGAATGCCTAAGACTGGGTAATGTATAAATACCAGGCTTATTTCTCACAGTTCTGGAGGCTGGAAGTCCAAGGTCAAAGTGTCAGCAGGTGAGGTTACAGCTCTCCACTTCCAAAGTGGCACCTTATTGCTATGTCCTGCAGAGAGGGGGACATTGGGCTCTTATGTGACAGCAGATGGGAGGGCAAGAGGCCTGAAAGCTGTGTGGAGCCTTTTATAAGGACCTTCCTGAGGAAGGGCTCTCGTGACTTACTTACCTCTCAATGACACTGCCTCTTACTACTACACATCGGCTGGTAAGTTTCAAGATGTATATTTTATACATAAGAATAGGAAACTGTAAAAATCCTTTCAGGAAATAAATAACTCTTGGGCTGGGGATTTAGCTCAGTGGCTCTGGAGCCTGCCTTGCAAGTGCAAGGTCCCAAGTTCAATCCCTGGTACTCGCCCCCACCAATAAATAAATAAATAAATAAGTAAATAAATAAATAATAACTCTTAAGAAAAATATAATGAAAAAAATTCAATGGAAGGATTGGGAGACAAGATGAGGCAATCTCCCCCAAATACCAAAAAAACAGAGATGAAGTAGAGAAAAGAAAGGAGGCTGAGTCCAGGTGGATAATATCACAAATAATAGTTGTTCAGAAAGAATTTGGAGGGTAAAGATAATCAATAAAATAGTTCAAGAAAATTCCCCAGAACTGAAGAACATGAGTTTCTACACTGAGAGAGTTCATCAAGTACATTTCATAATACATGGAAAACACTCATATCATGGAAACTTCACAGCACTAAAGACAAAAGAGAAGCTTCTAAAATTTCTCATAGAAAAAAATCAAATGTGAAGAACAGAAATAACTTCTAACAACATATTTGGAAGGTAGACGGTGGGGCAGTGCCTCAAATTCTAGGGAAAATGACCTTCAATGCATTCTATACCCAGCTAAACTATCATCAAGTTTAAAGATAAAGACCTTGTAGACAGATAAAATCTTGAAGATTTTACTTATTAAGCAATCTTTCTCACAGCTACTGGAGGATGTAGGCCTCCAAAGTAGAAAAAAAAACATAAAAGAGAAAGATATAGGTTCCAAAAATTAGAAGACTCAAAGCAAGAAAGTGGTAGAAAGACTCCCCAGGATGACAACAGAAGGAGATCCCAAGTCAACAGTTGTTGAGCAGACTTAGACAGTACTCAGTCCATAGAGAAGCAAGAAGTGGGAGGAGAAATGGAAATCTGGTGGAAAATTTAGGAGTCCATTAAAAATTAGACACATAGAAATCTAAGTGAGGGGAAAAAACACAATTTAATGATTTAAAGAGTGTCATTCTAGGGAAAGCAAAGAATCCAGTAAGAAAGGAAATCTAGCCACAGAGTACTACATGATCCAGCTGTGAATACTCACATAATCATATCATGAACACCTTACATATGCAGTGACCAAACAAGGAGAAGGATGTATGTTGACAGAATAGGGACATTTTTTTAAAAATCTAAAGCTTCCTTTTCTATCACAAGAAGATTGAAAGTAAAACAGGGAAATGCAGTCGTGGCATTCTAATCATGGGTCTGGAACAATGAAAGTGAAAATTAAAAGCAATAGCTAGAGGTTGTCAGGGAGTTGCCTCTGTAGATGGGAATCAGTGCTGGCAAGGTGACATGAGCCTTTAATATACTTGGATTTTTAAATTACATATGTATATAATTTTCATAACAAGTTTAAATGTATGAAATTTTAAAGAAAGCTATCCTCCACGGCCTTGCCATCCTGTTCTGCTGAGTGATTTATTCTAACTTGACAGAAACAACTGACCAAAGAAATGAGGGTGGGGGAGGGAGAGATAAAGATGGTTGATAGGTGAACCTAGTGCCCTGTGGCTTGGAAGGTAAGGGAAAGAGGAAAGAATTGGAAAAGCCATCTGATAGCTGGTGAATGCACTTAATGTTGAAGATGAGTGACAGAAGTTCCCATGATGGGCAAGGTGGTCCAGGTCCCCTCTCACTAACTCTGTCCACTATATGTGCCTCAGGCCCAGGCCTTATCCGGTTGTATGACTGCATGTTATTTGCATGGCTGGTGACTGCCCTCATGTGACCACAGGCTCAGTCTCTGGCTGCCTTCTCCGTTGGCACTGTAGCACCAAGCAGCTTTGGGCATGCAGGAGCCACTCAAAGGTCCCTACATGAGTTACTGTCCTCACCACTACTCATGGCTGTACTCCAAACTACCTATGAACTGGTGGAGACAGGGTAGGTGGCTGTGTCTGTGGACCCACACAACTCAGAGATTGAGTACAGGCACCCAGGGAAATGACAAGAGCTATCTACTCTATGGGAGGGCTCGCACTCCTTCCTCTCTGTCCTAGCCAGGCACATCTGAAGTGAGTTGTGGGACTGGGGTGGAGCTCTGAGGTGAGCACTGGCCTAGCATGCATGAGGCCCCAGGTTCCACCATGAGCACCGCCAAATAAAAGTGAGCTGTGGCTGTGCACCTTGTCTTTCAGATATAATTAGGTCCCTTCAGAGAGATGGGCCTCAGTGTCATCTTTATGAATCATTCTCAGCTGCACAGAACAGTTGTCAGATCCCAGAACGTGCTGTGTATAACCGAGCAGCGTTCTGGGGAGGGATCTGTCCTTCAGGGTGGGGCCTCAGCAGCTTCCTGGCATCTATCTTACATAACTGGAACCCCAAGAATTCCAATTACCCTGATGCTTACCCAAAGTTTATTGCTATAGGCTAGGGATGCCCCCTGAATCTCCATCAGCCTCCCCCCCAAACTGCCCCAAATAATCATGGAATCAAAAGACAAGAGCAAGAACTCAGTCCATGAGGGAGATAGGGAACAAAGGCCTGGCCCCTTCTGGCCCACCACCACCCTAGCCATGTGGGTACTCTCACTGTTTAGCCTCCATTTGATAGGAGCTTAGCTATCTTTATGATTTAAAAAACCCCAAAAACCTCTTATCATTCAACCATCTTTTTCCCCTTGAAGGTCAGTGGCGCCTCTGCTAGGATGCCCACTTCCTGGCTCAAGATGGATTTTTAGATTATGGATCTAGTTTAAGTGAATTGATCCTGGGCCCACAGCATGGCCACAGTTCAGGGAGAGACCCTGTGCTCCCTAGCCCTCCCTCCTTGGCCTCCTGCTGGAGGCTGAAGCATTGGTGGAGAGGAAAGGAGAGGCCACAGAGGAGTGTGAGCCTTACCTGTTCTCTGTCCCCAACCCCCAGGCCATAACAGGGATGGCCATCGACAACCACCTGCTGGGGCTGCGGGAGCTGGCCCGGGACCTGTGCATGGAGCCACCTGAGATGTTCACAGATGAGACGTACCTGACCAGCAACCGATTTGTCCTCTCCACCAGCCAGGTAGGGCCCCTGCATGTGCAGCCATCACCAAAAGGCCTTGTCTTATGACCAGTGGCTCTCTAAAGAGCTTGGTGATTAGGAGGCCCCGGGTGGGATTGCCAAGCCCATACTCTGCTTCTGCCTCTTCTGTTTTTAAAAATATATATTTTATTTTTAACTGACACAGAGTAATTATACATATTCCCAGGGTACAGAATGACATTGCAGTCTGTGTGCACTACACGTAATGGTCAGATTAGGGTAATTGGCGTATCTATCACATTTATCATTTCTTTGTGTTAGGACATTCAAGACTCTCTCCACCAGCTGATTTGAGACATTCGATTAATTGTTGTCAACCATAGCCATCCTACTCCACTACAGAACCTAGAAATGAGCCCTCCTCCCCAAGTGCACTCCAAACTGAACCCATGACCATTTTCTCCATCCATCCACCCTCCCCTGCCTGGCTCTGCCTCTCTTGAGCTGAGCCACTTTTGCCAAAATGACCTAAAGCTCAGAGCCCCGGTTTTCCACTTTTCAATGGGAGTGGTCATGGACTTCACCTTAGCCAAGGAGGCAGAATTGGCACTGCTGTCCCAGTGCTCTAACCATGAGGCACCAATGAGTTCTGCCCCTCACCTGAGGATGCTGTTTCACTGTGGGGACCCCAGGCTTGGGAGCCCTCAGGCCTGGACAGGCTCCAGACAGGTGGCAGGTATCGTCTCATAGCGGGAGACTGGCTGCCTGCCCATCTGAGCAGTACTGCAGACAGCATCTGTTGGAGGACAGTGTCCCAAAGAAAGACAGGCTGCTGTGGAGGGAAGGAAGTGCCCCCATGGTCACCCAGCTAAGGCTCCACCTCATCCTGGAACTGCTGGACATGGCAATGAAAGGCCTGATGAAGCTGTGTTGGAGGATAAGAACCCACTCAGTGTTTTCATTTTGTCATCACAGTGGTGAGCTCGCAGCCATGAATACATGAAGTCAGAACACAGCAACATAAATTCTTCAGGAAACCATCCACGGGCAAAAAGTGCTCTGGAATGGCTTTCTGGCTGGCAGCTATTGCACGGCAAATTTATCTGACAATGCAGTGACTCTATTAGCAAGACTAATGGTTTGTTCTGCCCCATTCAAACAGCCAGTATCACTTCTGAAGGCCAAGAACACAGGACCAGAAATCTATGGGTTTAAACAAACCCTGTCTGGTACCGGCCTAAGAACCTTTCCTATTTTTCCCCTAGGAGCAGTTAATAAAATTAATTTGGGGTGTAGACTTTTTGGTGGTTATTTTCCAGCTAGAAAGTAGTGCTTATGGCTTGAATACTTTCCAAGTTACTTGCTTGGTTTGTAACCCAGCTTGTAAAATCCCAGTGCTCTGAATTCAAAGTGTCTTAGGTGCAGAACTGAAACTCCAGTTGACGGCAATCTTTGAAAAGCCTGGTACTGGGTAATTGTGCGTGGCCTGGCTGCAGGGAGAAAATCCACCCAGCCAGGAAATTCTGGCAGTAATTAAGGATCTGGGCGAAATCAAGAGAAGATGGGCCAGATTTCCTCCAGTTCATAAACTGCTCCCGGTGGGAAGTTATCTACCACTTGGGTGCCACCAGGGTGCCTTTTAGTAAATTACCCTGATTGCCACCATGCCTCAAACAGCCCCCAGGTGAAGGAGAAACTCAGCCCCAGCCCTAGCTCACTCGGGAGTTTCCAACCCACAGCTCAGCAGATTGCACACCAGAGAGTGGGCCTGGGGTCCCTCTCCCTCTACAGTCATGCAGCGAGATTCTTTTGTTTTTTTATGCTGGTCGTGTCCACCCATGCTGAAGCAATTAGTTGTTGATTTGGTTAATTTGGTTGAAGTCCCAGGGTGGAAAGTAACCAGAGAAGCCAATCCCAGTGGAGGCCCAGGGTGTTGGGAAGCCCCCCTTTCTTGCAGGTTGCAGGTTGCAGTATGCTGCTGCTGCTGACCTGTTCTCTCCCCCAGGTGCCCACTACCATGGAGATGTTCTGCTGCTATGGTCCTGTGGTCCCCAATGGCTATGGAGCCTGCTACAACCCGAAGCCCGAGACCATACTCTTCTGCATCTCCAGCTTCCACAGCTGCAAGGAAACCTCGTCGGAGGGATTTGCGGAAGCCGTGGGGGCAAGCCTCGCTGACCTGAGAGCCCTGTGTAGCCCACTGCAGCCTGCTGACTCTAGGCCTCTGGCGACAGAAGAGAAAGCCAGGGGGCCCAGCCAGGACCACCAGCCTTGACTTCTGCTCCAAGTCCAGCCTTCTACAGCTGCTAGACCCCGCCTCATGCTTGTTCTCAGCCCTCTTTCTGCCTCTTTCAGCCCATTGCTGCTTGCTTCAGTGTCCCATTCCCCAGGCCCAAACCACAGGTTATATGCAAGTAATTTCCAAGCCAGAGTGCTGGGGGGAAAAGGGTGCCTCATGAGGTGTGGAGTGGCCTATGCAGCCGGAATGAGGCCATCCTGGCTCCCAGGTGGTGAGGTCCCTAGCAAACACCTCCCTCTGTGGCTCCTCAGAGCTTAATTCTCATGTTCCCTCCCCTGAGGGACCCAGCATGTCTGGAGATGTTTCTGCCCAGCAAAACAATGAGTCACTCTATTATGTGACATGCGCACAAATGAATCATGGAGGCAGAAGCTAACTCGGGGTCATTACCCCCTTTCCTTTCTGAGAGGAGTTGGGGGGGAGGCTTTGTTTTCAGATTCATAGCATCCGATGGTGGCATTCAGAGTCTCCACTGAGCCATACAGTCCTGCAGACATCTGCTCCCTACACACACAGCCCAAGTTCCTTGCGACATGGTGACCTGTGCCCCAGGCATGCTTCTCCCTCAGAAGGGCAGCTTCTGTTGAGTTCAGGAAATCTCGCACAGATTTTAGGAAAGAAAAGCATGTGTGCATCAGTCTTGGAGTCCTTGGGGCTCTCTGCTTTTCAGGTGGCATCAGGGACAGGAGGAACAGTCAACCAATGGTCTGGAGCAGGCAGAGTCCTGCCCCTGAATCTTTTCCATGTCCTCTGCCCACCTCCCAGAACACTGACCCTGAAGTATGACCTCTGCCCATGGGCAGAGACCAGGCAGGGGCTTGTGGAGTTTTCTCTTTATGTTTATATATTTTTGTTTGTTTCCCAGAGGGAGGTTTTAAAGAAAACCACTCTGACAGTGATTTCAGAAAGTGGTCTCAGGGGCCACTACCTGTGGCTGATGTGATATCCAGAAAAGGCTGACCAAAACCCACACACAGGGCTCTCTGCTGGCCTTAGAGACAGAGACCCCCACCTTGCCAGGGCAGGAAAGAGCAGAAGGTTATCCTGGATCATCCTGCCAGACCCCCTGCCCCCCGACAGAGTTGGTGGGGGTGGAAGAGAGGTACCCATATTGGGGCACATTCTTTTTCATTAAAATTTTTTTTATGCTTTGCTCCCCTTCCTTTTTTTTCACTATTGTGGATTAAACCTAGGGCCTTCACACTGAGCTATATGCCCATCCCCCACTTTTATTTTTTGAGAAAGGTTTTTGCTGAGTTACCAAGGCTAGGTTCAAACCTGCAATCTTACTGTCTCACCTTCCCAGAGTGCTGGGATTACAGGCGTGAACCACCATGCCCAGCAAGGTTTTATTTTAATTTATAGATAATATTTATGGGGTACAATGTGATATTTCAGTGTATGTACACATTGACAAAATCAGGGTTATTAGCAGAACCAGCATCTCACACATTTATCACATCTTTGTGGTGAGAACATTTAAATCCCCTCTCTAGCTGTGTTGAAATACACAGTACATCATCACCATCTGTGGTCACCTGCTGTGTGACAGACCCCAGAGCCCACTCCTCCTGTCCAACTGATGCTGGACCTGCTGGCCAACCTCTCTCCTCCTCCCTCACCTTTCCCAGGCTCAAATCACTGCTATTCTTCCCTCAACTTCTCGAGGATCAGCTTTATATGAGAGGTCTAAATGGGCACGGGATGTGGGGTGGGAAAGCAGCCTGAAAACTGGGAGTGCAGAAAATGGAGGGCAGCCAAAGCCTGCTCCTCACTACACTACTCTGCTCCCTTGGGGGGTTCTGGAGAACTTTCCCATCCTGCTGACCCTGTGGCATTCTGAATGCCCCACTCTAGCCCACAGGGCCTGCAAGTGTCCCTTCTCTGGGACCGGCTTGGTAGGCACTGACATCTGCTGAGCTTCTGAGGCCACGGAAAGCCTGAAGCTGAGACCCGGGCCCAGGTCTAGTGGAGGGTGAAGTGGGCCATCTGGGCACTGTCTTCTCATGTACAGAGTTAAATCATTGGTTTGGGGGTCCCTGGTCCTCCCCTCTGACATCCACCCTCCAGCCCAAAGGTCCCCTGCTGAAAGTTGACCCAAAGTCTGGGCAGCCTGAGTCCTCCCCGGTTCCCCTCCATGCCTTTCCCAGCTGGCAGAGAGCTCCAGCAGTGGGGTGAATGGGCCTCACCCAGCTAGCAGGTGACTCAAAAGTCCAGAGACACAGTTCCCTGCATTGTCACATGAGAACAACCCACGAGGGCTGGAACTGTGTGTGCAAAGGATTTGCCTGGCAGGGGCACGGTGGTGCCCAACCTGGGATACCACCCCCAGCAGACACTGTTCTGGTGTTTTGTTTAAAACTCTGCCCTGATACACCAGGCCAAGTGCATACCTGCCATCCTCAAGCACAGGGAACTGGAAGTCACTGTCATCCAGACATCAAACTGTGCACCATGAGGCCACCCATTATGGAGGCAGAGGGAGCACCTCCTCACTCTGAGGAAGGGCTGGAAGCTGGTCTTCCCCCTCTGACAATGGTGAGTGCACGACATCTTTACAAAAGGCAACACTGAGCCATGGCCAAGCATCTCTATGGGGACCCAGAGAAAGGAGGCTGTGTCCCAAAAAAGATGGGAAATGAGAGAGTCCTTTGGAAGAGCAATGCCTAATAAATGTGACCACCTTACATTTCTGTTGAGTTGCCAAAATATACAAAGTTAAGATTTGAGTTCTATTTTTATAAGATAGTTCTAGATTAATGGCAATATGTACATGTGTATTTATAGCCTTTCCATTTTAATTTATAGTTTTGTGCTTTAAAGAAATATATGTATGATGAAAGAACTGTATATCGAAAGTGCTCTATTCAAATTATTTAAATACTAACTCTGTATTCAATAAAACATAATGCCAAGAAAGATGACATCGACTACTGTTTCTCTTTCTACTAGAAGATAACGTTGTAAGTTCAGGATACTGGGTCAACAGTGCTTTGGACTTTGTCTGGGCTTGGCCAGCAATAGTGACAGACTGTAAATGGCTCCTGGATGCTGGACATGGTGGTGTGTGCCAGTAGTCCCAGCTACTCAGGAAGCTGAGGTAGGAAGGATACTTGAGCCCAGGAGTCCCAGACCAGCCTGGGCAACACAGTGAGACTCCATCTCTAAAAATAAAAGAGAAGGATGCAGGGGAGCAAAGGTAGGAGGAGCTAAGTCTCCCCACAGCAGGGCACTCTAGGGTGGGCATGAGGGCAGCAGGCCTCACGCATTGCTTGTGATCAGGTTGGCTGCAGTGTAGGTGGCACGGTGGGTATATCCCACTTATCCCACAAGAGACAGCAAGGAGCAGGCAGTAGAGGGGAGCACCAGGCACAATAAACTTTCTGTGGGTCTGCCTCGATAGGACCTCCAGAATGTCACCCAGACTCTGCCAACCTCACTGTCAGCACAGACAGGACCAATCCTCCAAATGGAAGGCATGAGCTTTGGAATCGGAGCCTCAGAGGGTGTGCGGGCTGGGATGTGAGAAAGATTCAACCAGGAGAGAGAGGATGGCTCAGATATTCCAGGAGGGCAGAGGGAAAGGTGGGACAGGATCACAGTGCTGTAGGTTCACTCTTACTTATCACATGTGTCAAAGGTGGCCCCCAAATAATCAGAAGTGGAGAGACAGAGAGAGAGAGAGAGAGAGAGAGAGAGAGAGAGAAAGAGGGAAACCTGAGTTCCCTTCATGAATCCAACTCATCTCCTTTTGTGTTTCTCTGAGTTTTCCTTTCAAAAACAGGCAGCTTAAGTCTGAAGGCAAACACTGTGCTATCCATGGAGGAGCTGTCCCCACACCTGGGGGTACCTTCCCTCCTTCCCACCTTGTTCTTCTCCTGCTTTGTGCCGCTGCACCTCCCTCAAGGATTCCTCCTGCTCCTGTCCCTTATTCGTCATTGGCCCAGGGTTCTTCTGTCCGTGGTCTTGCTCTCTAATTCTAAGGCTCAGCAAGCAACAAGCCAGGCTGAGTTATGCCCAAAGAGTCCTTCCCTCCACAAAATGAATTTTTAAAACACACCGGGGTAGAGGGTGCAGTCCCAAGGCTGAGTGCTTGCCTGCCAAGCCTGACGCCCTGGGTTCTGTCCCCAGCACCTGAAACAAGCAAACAAAACAAAAAGCTACTCACAGGAGTTCTTTTAAATATATAATGGAGTTAAAAAGAAAAAAGAAAAAGAAAGGAAAAATTCTCACATTCCATTGAAAGAGGAAGGCTTCCCAAAGGACAGCAGGAAGCAGGAGCTAAAGTTTGGTCTTGAACCAGGTGCTGACCCATGGGGTCGGCAGGTTCCCCTCAGCAGCTGGCTGAGGGGACAGGACAGCCCACATGAGCCAAACACCCAGCACAAACCAGGCCCTCCCAGATGTGTCCCCAAGACTTGTGCCATACGCAGATGAGAAGTTTGCATTCACACAACTTCTGGGTAAGGCCTATAATGTTAGAAGCCAAATTGGGCTGAGTCAGCAAGAACTAAAGGACCTTAGCAGAATCTAATATCACCCCAGACCCACCAAATACCCCCGAGGGACTATTCCATTCCACTGCAGACAGTCCCTGTCAGAAAACATAAATCTTCCAAGACAAGCAGGGCAGAATTAACATCCTAAAGGCTGGCATAATCTGTGAATCAGAGAAACTATGTTCATTCTTATGAAATTGTTAAAGAGGTCCAAGGCAGATAGCATATGGAGCACCGATGTATATGTAGGAGTGTGAGAGATTAGGGAAAGCACCAGTCACAGAGAAAGGGGCTTAAAATATTCTAAAATTGAAGAAACACATAATTCTGAAACTCATGGGTCAAAGAAGAGATCATAACAGGAATTTTAAATCACTTAGAGAAGAATGGTATAGGTAGCTTACTTCAAAATTATCTCATCTCCCTTATTTATTCAAAGCCTCTGAAATATGCCATATGTGATTATGAGAAATTTATAACTTTAAATATATCAGAAAAAAGAAAGAGGGAAGATTGATGAACTAAGTGTCAAGTTAAAAGTAAGAAAAAGAATCAAACAGTAAACTCAAAGAAAGTAGAAAAAGATTAAACATAAAAACAACTATTGGCAAGGGCTGGGGATTTAGCTCAGTGGTTTCACCACCTGCTGCGCAAGCGCAAGGATCTGAGTTCAATCCCTGGTACCAAAAAAAAAGCTATTGGCAAAAGAAAAATAAACATAACAAACGAGAAACAAAACAAAGCAAAAACTGGTTATTTGAAAAGACTGACAAAATAGTCAAGCCTAATAAAATCTATAAAGAAACGGCCGGGGATTTAGCTCAGTGGTTCCACCTCCTGCCTCCCAAGCGCAAGGTCCCAAATTCGATCTCCGGTACCAAAAAAAAAAAAA